TCTTGCTGCCCAGGGTCCTTGTCATGACGTTTCAACGCCACCCACCGGTCGACGAGCGTGCTGACTACACCCCACCACTCGGCGGGGCCATCCACCATGTGGGCTCTCCCAGGAGCGGGGCGAGACTTCTGCAGGCGCTCGGTGTATCCCGAGGCGCGCCCGAGCAGAGAGACGACCTCGCTGCCCTCCAAGCCATGGTGGCGGGCAACAGCCTGCTCCAAAATGGACACCCATCGGCCGTGCAGAAAGATGGCGTGGTCACGGCCCGGAGGAATCCTGGTCTGAACGAAGTGGCTGTCATGCACCCCCTGGCAAGTGGAGGAAAGCGAACAGGAGGAAGCCGTGGAAGCCAGCGCGTCCCAAGTCTCAGCCTCGATGGGATATGCAACTGGGGGCGAGAATGTGCTCGAAACGACCTCCGCCTCCTGCATGGGATCAAACTCCTCCTGAAGATCGGGAGGAAGACGCTCTCTTCGACGGGCAAGCGCCTCAGCACGCTGAGTGGACCGCTTGCTCGAAGGGTCGCTCTGGATCCGCGGTCGCCCGGGATTGGGAAGAGCACCGGCCACCGCCAGCTTCTTGTACCACCGCGCTTTGACAGCACCTTTCACCGTGACCTTCAGACCAATGTGCGTCTTCCACCCCACGTCGAACACTCCAGGAACCTGGAAACGTGACTCGCACCCTGAACGGATGACGGCATAATCAATGAGACTGCCCTTGGCAGCCTTGTCGCACGTGGTGCTGCAGTTATCCGGCAATGCCAAGCATCCGCCTAGCTCGGTGAGCCGGCCGGGGCCCGTCAAGGCAGGAGGAGGCATGTCCCAATCCCCCACGATGACCCACGGGTCGGCCAACCCGCGAACGAAAGCGCAGAGGGCTGCGAGCACCGTGCGGTTGTAGCCCGCGGTGCCGAGTCCTGGAAGAAGGTAAACTCTAATCGCGACCAAATTCCCTGACGACAGGTGCCAGACCAGGCCTGCGAATCCCCGGAATGGATCCCGCTGGCAATTGGCAACCGCCGCAGTGCGCATGCCTCCGAAGGTGGTGGTGGCGAGGTGCTTCTTGGCCAACACCCATTCGCCGCCTGACGAGCCGCCCCGCCCCGTCGGCGAGCTGTGGGAAGCTGAGACCTTCCACCCGTCTTTATCAAGATCTCGCTCCACCCCGGAGGCGAACTCGCCATAGGTGACATGCGCCTCAACCATCACGACCACCTGGAAGCCACAGCTGTTCAGAAAGCGAGCCGCCTTAGGGCCCCACTGCATGAGATTGCCATACAGAAAGGAAACGCCGTCACCGTGACCAGGAGCACCCTCAACGACAGGTTCCGTGCCCAACAACGGCTCCGACCTCTCTGAACCTCTGGGTGCAGGCGGGCCCTCATCAGTGGACCGGAGCCCTTCTGGCGTCGCCGCCGCGCCATAAAATGGCACCGGGCCCTCAAGAGAAGGCGCAACTTCAGCAGAGAGACAATCAGAAGGATCGATATCTTCATCATCCATCGTAGTTGCGCTCCGCCGAGCAGCCGTCGCTTCAGAAGACCCTGCCCCTGCCATCATGTCCCCCCAGTCGCACTGGGGTATGAAGAGCTCAGGGTTGCTGCAATGACATTGCCGGCAAAAGTGGAAGAAAAAACCCCTTGTCCTCGGAGAAGAGCTGGCAACCGAGCAGCGTGAAGCCGCACTCCCTTGCCACCAAGCTTCTCCAATCAGTCGCTCCTCCTCACGCGTGAGGAACTCATCGCCGTAGGGGAACGCCTGGCCACCGTATAAGATCGGCCTGGCATTGCTAAACGGAGGACTGCTGGACCTGAGCCTCGGCCTTGGCGCGTCCCTCGGCGAGGAGCTGCTGCAGCCTGGGATCAGCGTCAGGAGCACCACCAGCAGCTTGAGGAGCCGCAGCCGCGGCCGGGCCTCCGCCCACGCCGCCACCAGCACTGGAGGCGGCGGCGCCCGCGGCGGCGCCCGCGGCGCCGGCAGCAGGCGCGGCGCCCGCGGCGGCGCCCGCGGCGCCGGCAGCAGGCGCGGCCTCCGGCCGGCGGCGCTTCCCGCGGAGCCGTTCCGCGACCTTGCGCGCCTCCTCCCGCAGCGCCTGGAGGTTCTGCGCGGTGGGGCCGAGAACCTTGGCCAGCTCCGACTTGATGTGCTTCCCGAGCTCGCATCTGACGCGGTCCCATTCCTTGCGGTCGGCCGCCTCCAGCTCGAGCCCTTCCAAGTCGAACAACTCGCCGTCCTCGAAGACCAGCTCCGTGGACTCGTCGGTGCAGATCTGCGAGAGATTGATGCAGGACGTGGGCGGAGCGACCGCCGCAGCAGCCGCGGCCGGAGAGGGAGCATGCACTGCACACGCTGCCTGCCACTGGTCCCGCGCCTTGAGCAAGGCAGCACTGGTGCTCTCGGCCACCGACCGCGCCTCGCGCAGCCAAGCCTCGTCCTCGGCGACCCGCAGACTGGCCTGGTCGAAGGCAGCCTGCGCCCGGCGGAGGATGACACCCTTGCGCGAGACGGGCTCCTCGAGGAGTGGCTCACGCTCCGGCGGCGCCTCAGCGGCCTGGGCCTTGGCCGCCAGCGCGTCGAGCTCGGGACTGTCCCCCAGCTGCGAGCGAAGATACTCGACGTACGAAGTGGCGGAGGGGGCGTCGCGGTCCTGCATCGCCCAGCCGCCAGCCACGCGCCCCCAGGGCTGCCGCGGAGGGGCCTTATCCTGCGCCTTGGCCTTGGGCTGCGGCGAAACGCCTGGGCCCTTGAGACCCTTTCCGCCCTTGCCATGCCATTTGCCCCCCCCGTCACCTCCGGCCTCCGCGTTGGCCAAGGCGGGAAGAGGCGGCAGCGGCGGGGGCCCAGTCTCCCACTGCCCCGAAACAGCCGGCCACTCTTTTGGGGATGGGACCAAGTCGGCGCCACAAGAGTAGCACCAACTGTTCTTCTTGAAGTTCCAGCGGAACGAGCACGCCGGACAAGAGACATACTTGGTCTTCCCCATCGAATCGTGGCGGCAGATTGAGAAGGAACCGCCTGGGGCGAACCAGGCGCACACGACCACGCGTGGGGCTGACCACGCGCAGTTCCAGCCTGGGGCGGACCAGGCGAAAGTTGATAGCGAGCTCGGGAAACAGAGCTATCCCGTTCAGGCACGGAGGCGCGGAGCCCCCACGTGCAGAAGTCTTGAGCCAAATGGCTTGAGCCAAAATGGCTTGAGCCAAAATGGCTACGGAGGAGGAGGAGGAGGAGGAGGAGGAGGAGAAGGAAGAGGAGGAGGAGGCGGAGGAGGAGGAGCAGGAGGAGGAGGAGGAGGAGGAGGAGAAGGGGGAGGGGGCCGGGGAGGGAGCCGCGCTCGGATCGCGGGAGCCTCTTCGCGTGCGTGCCGAGGTGCAGCAGGAAGAGAAATCAAAAGTCCGTGGGGCAGGCGAGAGGCCGGAAGGAATCGAAGTCTGTGGGGCAGGCAGGAGGCTGCAAGGCCAGGCACGGCGCCCACGGAGGAGGCCGCGCCAAGCAGAGGGCAGAACCAAGTGGCGAGACCAGGCCGGGCGGCGACGAGCACGCTCGACGTAAAAGTTCGCAACGGTTCAATCATGGGAGGCGGCCCCTTTTCAAGACGTGGCTCTCGCCAGAGCGCCGCGCACCTTCGTCTTGAACGCAGGCAACAATTAACCAGGGCTCGTGTGGCGGAAGTCCCAAGACTGGCGCCCTGGCACGAGTCGGGATTGTCTTGTGGATGCCATGACAATGGACACTCGAACAATCCGATCACTAAATTAAAGGTGTGTTTAAGATGTGTAAAATATGTTCTAATCACGTTTGTTTTTACATGTTGAAAACATGTTTGAAACATTTTTAGACATCTGGAAATGAGTTGGCAGCAAGCATGTTTCCTCTCCATTAATCGACTTCCACAACACGAGTCAGGATTGTCAGGACGAATCAGTCACGTTGAGAAGTGGCGCTGCAGAGTCCCAGGAATTAAATTCTGTCCTGACACGACGGAGAGTTCTCGCACGGCTGGCTTCCAGTGGGGCACGGAGCATCATTAGAGAACTTGGACTCCTCCTTCTCCTCTCCCCGGTGCCGGTGTTCCTGCCGCTCCACCTCCTCCTCCTCCTTCTCCTCCTCCCCTTCCTCCTCCTCCTCCTCCTCCTCCTCCTCCTCCTCCTCCTCCTCCTCCTCCTCCTCCTCCTCCTCCTCCTCATGTTCCTCTTCCTCCCTCCTCCTCCCTCTCCCTCCTCCTCCTGCCCCCATCCACGTCGACCAGAATGACGACGAAGACCTCCGGAGGACTCTGCAGGCCCAAAACTGGATGCAAGCGTCCGCCAAATCCTCGATGTCGTTCGATCCTCCGTCCTCGGCCGGCGACGACGACGACGAAGACGACAAACACGACGACGACGAAGACGACGGCGACGGCGAAGCTGACGGCGGCGGCGGCGACAGTGGCAGCGCAAGCCCGCCTGCGGGGGAGGCTCGTAGGTCCAGATCTCGGGGATGCCGTACCTCGGCCGCGCGCCGGTGTGCTGCGCCGCGGCCACGGAGGCCGCCGGCGAGGCCCCAGGGAGGCCCCTCTGACCGCCCTCCGCCCTCTTCCTGCCGCCTCCCGTCCATCTCGCTCCTCTCTTCCATTGCCATTCCCATGTCGCTCCGCCTTCTTCCGCGCCTCCCTTCCACTTGCGCGTCGCTCCTCCGTTCCATTTCGTTCCTCCCTTCGCTTTCCATGTCCGTTTCAGTTTCGCTCCTCCCTTCCATGTCGCTCCTCCTTCCTCCGCCCCTCCCTTCCATTCCTATGTCGGCGGTCCATTACAAAGGGGCTCCCCGTGACCTAGCGAAGGCGCCACGGCGGCGCGCGCGGCGGGCGGAAAACGGGGCCGGCCCACGGGAGGGGCAGGGAGGGATGGGAGAGCGTTCTCTCTCTCCCTCTCTCTCTCTCTCTCTTTCTCCCTTTCTCTCCCACGCTTCCTTGCTCACGCTTCCTTGCCCCCTCCGGAGGAAACGGAGAAGGAAGTGACACGCCCCAGGGCGGATCGGGCCTCCTTCGGCTACACGCAAGAGTTACCCTGGGCAAGAGTGACCTCTGGTGCGCGGATTGAGGGGCGCAAGAGGGCCAAAGCCAAGCGTGCAAACCGCGGCTATCGATCGCACCGCGCTCAGCGGTCGCGGGGGATCCCGACGAGCCCGCACCAGAGGTCACTCCGGTGAAAGGCCACTCTCACGTCTGGTCGACCCCTTCCAACGAGATGCCCTGCTCCTTCTTGCAGAACGGCCCCTTCTTGCTTACGTCTAGTCGACTCCTTCCAACAAGACGTCCTGCTCCTTCTTGCAGAACGGCCCCGCGAGCATGGCTGCCGTGCCCCTGGCGTCCGGGCGGGGGCTGCGGGCCCCGCGCGCGAGGCCTCGGCTGCGCGTCAGGGGGGCGCCGCCAGGTGCGCCACCGTCCATGGGCACCGCCTGCCGTCGCTGGCCGGCCGAAGGTGCCTGAAGGCCGACTGCGCTGCTCGCATCGGTGTCCAGGAGCTTGATGGTGCCCTCGAGCGACGAGCCGCTGAAGAGTGCTTGGATGAGAGTTGCCAAAAATCGCCCAGCGCCTCCACGAAGCCCTGCGAGGTCACATCGCCCTCGCCGGCGCCGTCGAGGGCGACGCAGAGGTCGCGTAGCTCCGATGGCGTGGGCTGGAGCCTCGCTGCCGCGGTCGCTTTGTGGTCGCGGTCCTCCGCCTCTTCGTCTGCGCCCGCCTCGCCGGCGAACGGCTCGCGTGAGCCCGGCGCGCTCGCGGCAGAGGCGGCCCCCAACGGCCGCTTCCGCCTCGAGCGGGCGCTGCCTGAGCTGCGCTGCCGCGGTGGCCTCGGCGCCTGGCGATGCCGAGAGCGTGCGGGAGGTGGCCGAGACTGCGCCCTCGGAACCGCGCGTCAGGAAGACCAGCGCGCGCCCGGCATGGCGATCGCCTCTGGCGGCGGGCCCTCCTTGGCGACCAGCTCGTCGTTCAGCGTTTCGTCGTCGTCCTCCTCCTCCTCCTCCTCCTCCTCCTCCTCCTCCTCCTCCTCCCCTTCCTCCTCCTCCTCCTCCTCCTCCTCCTCCTCCTAATCTTCATCTTCTTCCTCGGTGGTGGCGTTGGCGCTGCTCCCGGGCGCTCTCCGTCGGCGCTGCTGGTCTCCTCGGAGCCATCCTCCGCGATGTCGGGCGTCGGGCCCCTGGCCGATGGGGTCGCCGCCGTCGGACGCCTCGGAGGCTGGCTCGCTGGCTGCAGGGCCGCCCACTTCGGCGGCATCCAGTGCGAGCAGCGCCTGGGTGAACTGCTCCGCCTGGCGGTGGCCCCGTTGCGTGTGAGGATCGCCTGGGAGAGCTAGCAGTCGGGGTGTTCTGGGAGCCGCCCTTCGCAGTCGTCAGGATACCGAGAGCCGACGGCCTTGGCGTCGCCAGAAGCGGCCGCATAACACAGGGCAGCGAGGCTCTGGGAAAGCTCCTCGGCTGCTTCCGGGCAGGCCACAGCCAGGGTCGCCTCCGCAGGATCTCGAAGCGAGCCCAGCCGCGGGGAGAGTGGAGGGATCCTCGGCGACTTGGCCCGAAGGGCCACGTGAGGGGCGCCGCCGAGGGGATCCCGAGGGGGGATACCCAGCTCAGTCACGTTCCTTGAGGCTTGTGCCTGGGTCTGCTCTGGCTGGAGCGCCCGAGGCGGCACGGCCCCATGGCCCGTGGCGGCGGCGGCGGCCCGCGGTCCCTCCTCGGCTGCCGGCGCCGCGCCAGCCGCCGACGGTCGCCTATACTAGGCTCTGGCCTCGGCGCAGTACAAAAAGCCCGCGGCGCCTCCTCGTCCTCGTCCTCCTCCTCCTCCTCCTCCTCCTCCTCCTCCTCCTCCTCGTCCTCCTCCTCCTCCTCGTCCTCCTCCTCCTCCTCGTCCTCCTCCTCCTCCTCCTCCTCCTCCTCCTCCTCTCCTCCTCCTCCTCCTCCTCCTCCTCCTCCTCCTCCTCCTCCTCCTCCTCGCCCCACTTCTCCGTGACGACCTCGCTGGCACATCTCCAAACCAGTGGATGTAGATACATGCCCACTGTGGACTGGAGGCCCCTGGGCCCGCGATCGAGGAGAAGGATGGAAGCTTTCGGAGGGAAACGTGTCTGTTGGTGCCTCTTTGGCTCTTCCTTCTGAGAGCTTCGACAGGCATGGCTCCTGGCGGCTCGAAAGCACTATGCTGGAGGCTTCCCACAACTCTCGGTGTCGGTATACCGTTTCCAGGCCCAGGGAAATCAGAAAACGGCTCATGATGAAACGCCCTCGTCGCCGGTACTTCCATGGGCCCTCGGCCCTGGCCCTAGCCCCTAGCCCCTAGCCGCTAGTCTAGCCGCCTAGCCCCAGGCCCTGATCGTTTCTGCCGTCGACGTCTTCCTTCTCCTCCCCCCCCACCTCCTTCTCCTACTCGTCGTCGCCCCCGCTGATCAGATTCATCCGATTTATCCGGGATGGAGTCGAAAGGTGTTCGGGGGCCCGCGTCGCAGCGTCGCCCTCGGGACCCCCGCCAGAAAACTCGCCGGCTGGCCCCGTGGCCCGCACGGGGTGGGTGCATGGCCAGCGGGGCAGAGCCTTCTGGGAAGCCGCTCCGCCACAGCACTTTCGGTCGGGCATGTCCCTTATACAGGCGGATTCTGGACGAGAAACAAAACAAATTCAAAGCGCAAACAGATTCCAAAAGAACCCCAGATCGTCCCCAGGCTACTTCTTGCCAGTGTTTGAAGATTCCTCCTGTGGGGGGACACGCCCGACTTGACACAGCTCGGGAGCGGCCAAGAGGGGGGGTGTCCAAGGGGGGGGTGCAAATCATGACTGGCGGCACGTGAGCGGCCCAGCGGGGGGGCCAGGGACGCAATGAAATAAGAAGAGGCGCCGTGAGATCTGAGGAAATATCATGGCCCACGCCATGATATCCCCCCCTAGTGATCACTCAGTTTGAAGGGGGCTGGAAGGCCCAGCCAACAGCTTCGCCTCAGGCGAAGCCAAACTCCCGCTCTGTTGTATCGTAGTAAGGATAGTCCCAGTAGAAGAGGAGATGCCATCTCAGGCAATAGGAAGATCCTTGTGGCCTTGATAGCGACTGTGAGCCTCGCGGTGAGGCGCAGTCAAATCTGGGCGGCCGGCCGCTTGAGCCAACGCGGCCGCGGGCGCACGCTCGCTTCCACTCCTCACGTCCCCCAGCTCGCTTTGGAGTCACCCCCGACGTAATGATTTTTTCATTACGTCGACCCCCAGAGGTCCCGACCCTTTCCCCATGACCGGCTTTGCATCCTGAGTCGTGTTTTGACGCTCCCGAGGCCCGGTGAGGGCCCCGGAGGCCGAAAATCAGGAAAAACCTCCCGTCATGATTTTTTCATTACTCGAGGGGGTCTGGGTTTGGAGTCACCCCCCTCTTTGCCGCCCCCGAACAGCACTCGCGCCAGGGTCACGGCGGGAGCCGCCGGCCCCGCCCCCCCGCGGCAGGTCTGCCTCTGCCCGGGCCCCCGCGCGAGGGCGCCAGGGCCCGGGCTCCGGGCGAAGACGCCAGGGCGCGAGGGCACCAGCCTTCTTGGCCATCGCTCGGACGCCCATTCCCTGTGTTTTTTTCGGTCTCGTGCGTGGTTTTTTCGGCAAATGATCAAGTGAAGGGGAACTGGGACACACAAATAAATACACACAAATAAAAATATCCCCCATATTTTCCCATATTTTCTGGGTTTTTGTCTTCTCCCCCACTTCCCATATTTTCCCATATTTTCTCGGAATCGAGGATTAATTGTGTCTGTGTGTTTCTTTCCCTCCTGATCAAGGATGCTCCTCGATGGTCCTCGCCGAGGAAAAAGCGCACACGTCCGAGCGATGCCAGGACCTCTGAGGCTTCTGCGCGTCGCCCGGCGCACGACTGAAGAGGCCCTGGGCCACACACACACACACAACAAAAAAAAAATAGACACAAACAACAGGAGTCCCCATAATTTCCCACATATTTTCTCGGTTTTTGTCTTCCCCCCCCCCACTTCCCATAGTTTCCCCCCATCATTTCCTGGGGATCGAGGATTCCTTGTGTCTGTGCTGCTTCCTCCTGAACAACAAAATAGCGCCGCCCGAGTCGAGGCGGCCGTGCCGGCGGGCGAGGCGGGGCGTGGAGCTGCCGGGCGCCACGCTCGTTGATGCGGATCGGGTCCCCCTTCCAGTCCTGGAGGGCAGCCAGGAAAATTGGCGCCAGCGAGCTCGCGAGAGGCAACGAGCTAGCTGAAGGCACAACTTGTCTGAGGGCATGTTTTGTTGCCTTCAGTTTGCCTCGAATGAGTGTTTGCCTTCCGTGATAGCAGCAGCCGTGATCTTCTCCCTGCCCCAGAGATTGACAAGCCCAAGGGCGATAACAGTCGTAGCGACGGACCCTCACAACGAGGTCCAGCAGCAGCGCGAGGAGACCGCAAATGGGGAAATACCTCCGATCGCATCTCTTCGCTGCGCGAAGAGGTCTATAGGGAGTCCCGAAGGAGGCCACGACCGTCCCCAAGCCTCGATGCCCGAACCCCCTTGGTCCCCGACCCAGGGCCCAAGATCCGTGCCCGGCCAGGGCCAGCGGCGGCGTGTGCGGCCGGCGGCGTGCTTCGACCCCGACCCCGGAGGCCTCCTACAGACGGGGTCCGAGTACAGTCGGGGCGTTGACCTAAGGAACCTTGAATAAGGAACGAGGCCCCTTGATCCCAAAAGTTAAGCTTGGATTTCCCATCGGACACCTCAGGAAAACCCAAGCCAAACTGTAAAACAATCAAGGAACACCGAGCCCCTCCCCAACGAGAAGGGTTCCTTCTTCAGCGCCCTGACTGTAGAGGGGGCCGAAGGATCTCGCCGCATCGCCAATGCGTCGGCGATGCATCGGCGATGCGCTGGCGACGTCGGCGGTGCATCGGCGACGCCGGCGTGGGGCAACGCGGGCTGCACATCGAGCCGCATCGTTGCTGCCTCGGCGCTGCGGCGCGATCCTCCGACCCCGTGGGGCCTCGGACCCCCTCTGGGAGGCCTCGAGAGCCCCCCCCGCGGAGGTCCCTCTGCACGCCCGGGTCTCCCGACTCCAGCGTCGCGATCGTCGCCGCGGCGGCGCGGCCCCCGCCATCTAGAGGGCAGAAAATCCACCCCCATCATAATCACCCCGACACTCGAAGCCATTTAGTAAGCGCACCCAAAGCAGGTCTCGAGCAGGGCAGAGATGCTTATAGTAAACGCCCAGGGCCGTGTCGTAAACGCCAATTGTCGGGTCCGGGTGCTTCCCTTTTTGTTTCCTCCTCTGATGGGCCTGTTTCCCACCACCATCACCAGGAGTTGCAGGGGGAAGGAGGTGGAGGACGAGGAGGAGGAGGAGGAGGAAGAAGAGGAGGAGGAGGATCAGGAGGAAGAAGAGTAGGAGGAGGCGGAGGAGGAGGAGGACGAGGAGAAGGAGGAGGAGGAGGAGGAGGAGGAGGAGGAGGAGGAGGAGGAGGAGGAGGACCCCCTCCCCCCCAATCCTCTGGCGGCGGTGGTGGACAAAACAGGCCCGTCCTCCTCCCCATTGACCGTCGTCGCCCTGCTCCAGGGCGGCCAGCGGCGCCCTCATCTCGCGCGCCGGCGCCATCTGCCCCCCGCCGGCCGCGCGCCACCGGCCCGGCCGGGGCCGCAGGCCGCGAGGGCGCGCGGCCCGCCGCCCGCCGCCCGCCGGCCGCGCGCGCGGCCGGAGGCCTGGCTGGCGAAGGTCCGTCCGAGGGCCGCGGTGGGCTTTGAGGAGGGCGCGCCGCTGGATCCCCCAGGGTCCGAGGCGGGAACTTATCCATAGCCACCGCCCGGAGGGCGAGCTTTCGGAGCCTCGGCAGGCGGTGGGCATGGACATGTTCGGGCCCCCGGGGGCCGAAAGCTATCCATATCCGCCGCCCGCTGGGGCACCAGGGCGTCGGTTCCCAGGCGGTGGATATGGATAAATCCCCGCCTCGCACAAAGCGGGGGGGTCCGGACCTCCCCCCCCCCTTTCCCCGATCTGTCGTCGGCGGACCTCCCCGCCCCCCCTTCCCACCCCATCGTCGGCGGACCCCCCCTTCCCTTTCCCGATCCGTCGCCGGCGGACCCCCCGGAGAAGGCAAAGGAGGAGAAGGACGAGGAGGAGGAGGAGGAGGAGGATGAGAATGAGAAGGCGGAGATTGCCAGCATGGCAGCGGGGAGTGCTTCGCCCGCCCGATCCTCACCCTCCTGATTTTCATTCTCGCCATCCTCGCTCTCTTGGCCGTCCTCCACATCCTGACCCTCCTGCTCCACGCTCGCCTGATCCTCACCCGCGTGACCCTCGCTTTCCTGATCCTCCCCCTCGCGAGCCTCGCCCTCCTGACCCTCGCCCTCCTGATCCTCGCGATAACGTTCCTCTTGCGGAGAAGCGCGCGCCCCTTCTTCTATACACAAAAACTCCCGAGCAACCGCAGAGCGGCTGGCGTGTCGCGCTGCCGGTCCTGGCCCACCGCGTTTCCATAGATATATCCCAAGAATGACTACCTACCAGACCACCCCAACCCAACCCGAAGACCCGAATTTGACCCGAATTTCGGGTTGGGGGGGGTATGGATACCACGTGTTTTTTCAACGTTCCCCGACCCCCCCCCCACTGGAAATCGAGGATCAATTTGGGCCTTCGGGTTGGGTTGGGGTGGTTTGGTGGGTGGTGAAAGAAGGAGCCCCAGGATTGCCCCTTAAGAGGCCTCCAGTCGGCTTCCTCGCAGCCTCCCGTGGCACTGCTCGCGGAGGCCTCTATACGGTCGACTTCCGAGTTCTTTTTGCGCCCCTCCGCTGTCGCACGGAGGTCGGGGGCCGACGCCGGGCGTGCTCACGCCGATGGGGAGGGGAGGAGGGAGAGGAGGAGGGAGGGGAGGAGGAGGAGGAGGGAGAGGAGGAGGGAGAGGAGGAGGGAGAGGAGGAGGGAGGGGGGGAGGAGGGGAGGAGGGGAGGAGGAGGAGACGTGCTCGCGCCACCTCTAACGTCCTACCCCTCCCACCCGTCCCCTCCCACTGCGCTCCGCCAGTTGGGGTGCCCTGGAGGTCCTCGATGCCCGGGCTGACCCCACGCGCGACGCGCAAACAGAAGGGCAGGCCCTGTACATTGTCAGATGCATCAGCGATGCTGCAATACACGCTCCGGTTCCACGTCAGCTCCTCACGAGTCCCTACAAGCCTGCGTTTTCACTATGAGAAGAACCCGCTTGAAAGACCAGCAACCTGTTGTCCTGCCATTCCGGCGAGAGCCCCGCTCTGAACCAGAACTGCCTTGCATTCTTTTTTTGTTGGCGAGTCGACAGGAACGCGACGAGGCATGACCATACAGTTCAATAAGGTGTCGAGCGAGGTCCTCGTTTTGAGCCATGATCGCCCCAACCTGTAAAATTGATGAACTACTTTACCGTGCTGTCATGAACACCGGGAGTCCCAAGCGGGAACCCATGTTGGAAAAGAACCGCCTTCCGTCTGTGCACCTGGTCTTCCGACCTAGAAAAATCTCTAGCGAGAGCCTCGCTTAAAAAATGAGTCGTCCTCCATGCTAGAACCTTTGCGCAGCAAGACACGAGCCGCCACCCGAACCTTGCAAATCCTTCGAGATTGTTAGACAAATGTGCGGGGCGCGGGGGCCAGAGCTACATGTTTAAAGCGAACCTTACCCACCGCTGTAGCTGCCCCGAGGTGTAAATGACGAACGTGCGCGGCGCGAAGGCGAGGGTTCCATTTTGAAAATGACCCCCACCCCTCTATCCTGGACTACTGTAGCTGCTGCACGCTTTTAAAACGAGTGCGCGCGCGGCGCTAAGGCGAGAGCTCCTGTTTGAAACCGATCCCCCCTCCATCATTGAAACTCTGTCAAGCTTTTGCAACGACCGTGTGCGGCGCAAAACGAGAGCTCAACCTTGAAAACGACACCACCAATTCGCGTATCTGGGGCAAGTTTCGAGTACCAGGGCCCTAAATCGTGAGGAAGTCTCATGCGAAACGCCCGGCCCGCCCTGTCGACATGTTTGGGGATGCGACAGGGAAGAGTTATCTGTCAGGAAAAAGGATGGAAGAGGATGTGGGGACAAAGGTCATGCAAACACATAGGCAAAGGACGGACGAAAAAGGAGGGTGACCATGTCGGGTCGGGCCCGCGGCGGTCAGGGCGATACGCCGAACCTGAACTGATCGCCTGCAGGACGAGGAGCCCACTCCTCCTGCTCATCCTCCTCATTCCCGTCCTCCTCTCCATCCTCCTTCTCATCTTCCTCTTCCCCCCTGCCTTCCTCCTCCTCCTTGCTCTCCTCCTCCTCCTCCCGATCCCCCCCTCTGTTCCTCCTCGTCCTCCTCCTCCATCTGTTGCCCTTATAAGCGACTCCTCCCTCTCGCACCACCAGACGTGTCGACAGGGCGGGTCGGACGTTTGGCCCCAGACACGCCCACCATTTACCATTTATGATCCTGAAGCATCACATCTGCAACAGACTCGAACGTTGGAGGGCGGGCCGTTCTCAGAATATGCTCCCCGCTTTAGCGCCGCGCGCTTTCGTCCCAGGCGTGTGCAACAACTCCAACGATGAAGGGCGGCCCCTCCCCAAAAGTGGCCCTCGCCGTCGTGCCACGAGATCTGCAGCAGCGTCAGGGATGGAGGGCGGTGTCTATGTTCAGAGGGCGGCTCTCTCGCTGGAGCGCCGCGCACGGTAGGCTTCAAAGCCTGCAGTCGCTTCGGGGCTGGAGGGCGGCTCCTTATAAACATGCCGCTCTCGCCTTCGCGCCGCGCGCATTCGTTTTTTTTATTAAAAAAAGAAAAAAGAAATAGTTATATATATATATATATGTATATATATATAACTTTGGAGCACTTGGAAGACACATCCGCATGGCTGAATTCCTGCGGCTGTTCCGGCGCGGCCTGCCATTGCCAGGACGGGACGGTCGTGCTGATCTGAGACGCTGAAGCCCCAGTTCAAATAGTCTTGCGCGGCTCAGGGGCGTCGGGACGCAACAGTCACGTCGCTTCGCGGTGTTGAAGTCCAGGGAAAGGTGTTGTTGGCACGGTTGAGGGTTCTCACACGGTTCTCTCTGAATGGTCCACTTCCCGCAATGAAGACGGGCCATTGCACGGACACTTCTTGCATCATCGATGATGCGTCTTGAGTTTACACTGGTCCTTCTCCTCCTCCTCCTCCTCCTCCTCCTTCCCCCTCCTCCTCCTCCTCCTCATCCTCCTCCTCCTCCTCCTGGGGAACCTCAGACGATTTCGAAGCCAATACAGCGGTGGTGGCGAGGGCCTCCCAGGAAGCACAACGAGGCGAAAACGAGGGAATGGCAGCGGTACGGGTACCTTTTCCTCTTTTGATCCTCCGCCTCCTCGACCTCCCCCCAATCCAATCCTTCCTACCCCTCCTCGCCCTCCTCCTCCTCCTCCTCCTCCCCTCCTCCTCTTCCTCCTCCCCCTCCCCACACCATGCCTCCACATCCTCCGCCTCCCTCATCCTCCGCATCCTCTCTTCATCCTCCGCCCCCCCACCCCCCTGCATCCCTCCCCCGTCCCAGTCCCGAAATCCTGCGCCCATCCCGGTCCCGACGCCCCGCGCGCGCGCGGGGCAGACGGCCAGCGCGGGGTCGCGGGGGCCTCCTCGAGGAGCGTGAGCGCGAAGCCCTTCCTGTTGCCCCGCCCCGTCCTGGGCACGGCTGCCACAGCACTTTCCCATTCTTTTTGTATGTGTCTCTCTCTCTCTCTCTCTTTCTCTTTTTGTTTCTCTCTCTCTCTATCTCTTTAGATGTATATATATATATATATATATATATATATATCATATATTATCTCTCCCTCTCTCTCTCTCTCTTTAATTATGTTTCTCTCTCTCTCTCTCTCTCCCCTCTCTCTCTCTCCCTCCCCCTTTCTCTTTATCCCTCTCTCTCTTTCTCTGTCTCTATCTTTTCAGTCTCTCTCTCTCGCTCCCTATATATATATATATATATATATATATATATATATATATATACACATGTATCTCTCTTTATTTAGCTTTCTCTCTCCCATTTTCTCTCTCTCTCTCTCTCTGCCTCACTCGCTCACATGCGGAGGGAAGAGCACCAAGCGGTAGGTGATATGATCGCCCACAAGCTCCAAACGGCCCTCACCTCAGCTGATCAGGCCAACGGCGTGCAGGGGAAGCATCGGATTGCCATCAAAGCTAGTCACGCCTACAACCTCAACATCCCACGTGACCGGCCCCCCGAGGCGGGCGAACCGCGCCCGCGTGTGCCCACCCTCCACGGGGAAGCACCAGTGTTTCTCGCGACATCTGCTGCCCCGAGGGCCTTCCCAGAGTACGGTGCCGCTGCCAAGCGCGTAGGCCATCTTGGCAACCTTCGTCGGCAACTCACGGAACTTAGGTTCATCGTGAGTCACCGCCCGCTCGACACCCGTCCCCCTGACCCCAGCCATCACCATGCTCAGAGGGATACTGTTACGTGGGCCGCCGCTCGCACTCGGGCCACGCGTGCTCGGCCCACCGCTCCGGTGGAATCTCCGCACCTGTGGAACGGCCAAGCCCCACCGCGAGATAACCGCCTAGACTCCCGCATCACAGCGATCGAGAAACAACTTGGGCACCGCGGCCAACGCGCTAAGGCCGATAGCACCCAGAACTGGACCATCCGCATGCGGCAAACTGACGGGCGGCAGGCCGCTATCTGCGCCCGCGCTGGGGACAACTCCCCAGCTGCTTACCTGCGCACCCCCGTGGATGGCGCGGCTAGCACGCCCGTCCACTGCGGAGGGCCCCCCGCTGTCGATAGCGTCAGTGCCACTGCGGCGCCCGGCGACGACGACGCCCTCAGCTCGGCGAGTAGCTCCAACAACGACTCGGCCAGTGGGTCCCTCCCTGCGAACTCCATCTTGGCGGACACCAGAGCCACGCCAGACTCATGGCCGCCACGTGGGAACTAAACCTGGCGCGCCATCGCCCCATAGGCCGCAACGACGACGACGCCATCCCGACCTGGGTGGACTTCCGCGAAGAATGCGAGCGCGACCTTCCCACCCCGACCCCCGCTGCTCCGTTCAACCTCACGGGTGACTTGCCGTCGATCGGACGTCCATTTCCCCTGCATGTTTCGGCTTCGTGCGTGTTTTTTTTGCTCGATGGTCCAGGATGGTCCTCGATGGTTCTCGCCGAGAAAAAATGCACACGTCCGAGCGATGCCAAGGTGATATGCTCATCGACTTCATTCGCAGCCGCTCCGAACGAAGAGCGGGCGGGTTGGACGGCTGGACCACCCCGGAAAAAAAAACAAAAAACCCGAGCTGGAGATCTTTGTTCGAGGGTTCACCCTCCGGAGAGTCCAGGAGCCTAGGCTGACCAGAGAACCCCTGACAAAAACCCCGGAAAAAAAAAGAGAGAGGGAAAAACCCGAGTTCCTCAAAAAACACGCCGGAAATTCTTTAGTTATTGTGTTGTTTGTGCCCCGGGGTTTTCCAAAGGGCTTTCAGAAACATTATTGTTTCCGAAAACCCGTTCAACAAAAACTCCGCTTTGTTTTTTGTTTGAATGTCCCCCCCGGAGAATCTGGGAGCCCGGGCTGGCCAGAAAACAAAAAACCATTAGACAAAAACCCTGAGTTGGGTTTTTTTTCTTGTTCGTTCGGTTTTGTGGGTGGGGGCTCAGACAAAAAATATGGTTTTTGATTGCATGCGGGGCCCCAGCATCAAAAACCCTCGAATTGGAACGTTTTCGGTGACTCCCCTCTTGAGAATCCGGGAGCCTGGACTGGCGAAACACTCTCGAAAAACCGTCGAAATGTGTTTCTGTTCCGGGTGAAGTCGGGAGGGGGCTCAGAAATGGTATTGTTTGAACGGGCCCCAGAACCTTTCAAAACCTATCTAAAAACCCAGAGTGGGTGGGTCCGAGAACCCCAGAATTTGGAGGTGCTTCGGGGTTTTCCCCCCCCGGAGAATCCGGAAGCCTGGGCTGCCAGAGAACCACCAGAACACAATAAAAACCCTCGAATGGGATTCTTGTCCTAAGGAATTCCGGGAAGTTCTCAAACATATATTTGTTTTTAATTGTCGGCCCCAACCCCCCCCCGAACAACCTTCCGAAAAAACCTTGAATTGGGGGGTCTTCACATGCTTTCCCCCTGGAGAATCCGGGAGCCTGGGCTGGCCAGAGAACTAAAAAAACACCATATTTTGTTTCTGAGGTTTCCCTGGGGGGGGGGGTCAAATTATTTTTATATTAAAATGTATGGAAACAACAGGGGGGACAAAAAAAAAAACGAGTTGGGTTTTTTCAGGTTTTCCCCTGTGGAGAATCTGGGGGCCTGGGCTGGCCAGAGACTTCCCTGAACAAAAATAAGAAAAACCATCGAATTGGGGGGGGTCGGGCGTTGTCCAGGGGGTGTTCAAACATATGTTTTTTTCATTGTGGCCCCCCAGAACCTCCGATCCGAAAAACTCCCGCAAAACCCCCGAATTGAAGACTTGTCCATGGTTCTCCCCCTGGAGGAACAGCACGCCTTCCGGCCCGATGATCGCATTGAAGGACAGCTCCTGGCAGCAAACTTGGTGATGGAGAAGACGAAATCGATAGGCACTCCTGTTTGGGCCGTGAGCCTCGGTTTGTCCAAGGCGTTTGATCGTGTGGAGTGGTCAGCTCTGTGGTTGGCGTTGCGCCAACATGGTGTTCAGACCACCTTATTTGTATATTGCAGGTGCTTTACGACCAGCAGAAAAGGCAGGTGATCGGACAAGGTGGGTGCAGCAACCCTTTCCGCATTGCAGCCGGGGTTCGACAAGGCTGTGTTCTCAGTCGTCGGTGACTCTGTTGTTTACTGGGCTGGGCAATGGAGCGCTGGCGTCAGAAATCCGGAACTGCAGGGTTCGACTTGGGAGACGGATTGCCTCGCTCGTTGGACCTGCGCTTTGCCGACGAAGTGGTGTTCTTTTCCAAGTCTCAAAACGAGGCCGCAACCCTTCTCACATCACTTGTTGAGGAACTTGCTTCAGTGCGTTTTATCGGGAGCGGAAAAGAGGGGGGTGTCCAAGAGGGGGGGGCGCAAATCATGACCGGCGGCATGTGCGCGGCCCAGCGGGGGGACCAGGGACGTAATGAAATAAGAAGAGGCGCCATGAAACCTGGGGAGATATCATGGCCCCCGCCATGATATCCACCCCCCCCTAGTCATCACCCCCCTCTTTTCCGCCCCCGATCTTATATTGAACGCAGAGGAAGCCGTGGCCCTCACGACCGAGGCTCGGGCGCTGGAGGCGCTCATGCTTTCCTCTGGCGCGTCGACCGAGCGCGCGGGTTCCCACAAGTGGCTCGGATGCGTATTGCCGACGGACGTTCTCAAGAGGGATCAGGACTACCATCCCCGGGCTGCCACGAAGGCGTTCTACGCGAGCTGGTGGATATTGACGGACAAGGGCGTCTCTGCAGCAGCTCACCTCCATTATCCTCATGCAGTTAGTACACCGATCGCCCTGTTTGCTTCAGCACACCGCGTGGTCGATGCAGCTGAACGGAGCCAACTTGATTTTGTATGCAGGAACTTGTTTTGTCAAGTAACTGGGCCACCGGGTGGAATTGATTGGTCGAACGCTTGGAACCTTATTCTACATGTTCGGCACGAGCGCATGTGCACAATCATGGAAGTTCACAATTTCAATGTGCGGTCGGAAATTCACTTGCACCAATATTGGCGAATCGCAAGCAACGTTGCGAGAATGCCTGCTGGTCGGTGGGTGCCGCGTGTTCTCAAGTGGTCACCTGCTGGAAGCAAACCCCAGAGGCGACCAGGCCGAACATGGGAAGACGACGTACGATCATTTTGCCGTGAGTTCGAGATTGGCGACTGGAGAGTGGCAGCTGGAGACCCATATGCGTGGGCGCGCATGAAGGAAGACTTCCTGAGTTCTTGCTAGCTTGTCCTCGTCCTCCCCTCCTCTCCTCCTCCCCCCATTCTCGTGAACTGACTCGCGCGCCCTTGTTGCACCGCCAGCCGCAGAGCCGGCAGTGTTTTCCCCGCCTATGCCCTACGTGGCCGCCCCTCGTGGGCATACGGGCCTGACCTGACCTGTTCCCCCCGGAGAATCCGGGAGCCTGGGCTGGCCAGAGAAACCCCAGAAAAAACACCGAGTTGGGTTTTTTTCCCCAACCATCCTGTGGTGTTGGGTCCTCGTTTTGAAGTGACAGCGACCCGCGTTCCTTCCTTCCTTCTGTCCTCTCCTCCTCCTCCCCCCCTCCTCCCCAGCCCCCCTCCTCTTTCCTCCCCCTCCTTGCTTCTGCTCTCCGCATCCTCCCCCATCCCTACTCTTATCCCTGCCTCTGCCCTTGGCACTTCCTCGTTGTCATAATCAACCTCATCATCACCATCATCACCATCATCATGATCACCAGCATCATCATCATCATCACCATCACCATCATCATCATCATCATCATCATCATCATCACCATCACCATCACCATCACCATCATCATCATCATCATCACCATCATCATCATCATCATCATCATCATCATCATCATCATCATCATCGACGTCATCATCACCATCATCGTCAACCTTATCACCATCATCATGCAAGGGGGCGGGGGTGCCCGCATGCGGTTCCCCCACCCAGTGCAGCGTTTCGTAGCCCCATAGGGAGCTCCCCCGAAGGCCCCAGTCG